ATCTCCCTAATGACTATAGTTTCACAGTCAATGCACTATGTTTTTTTTCTTTTTTGTTACTAGTCAAATATTCCACATTATAAATGCGATGGACCAGCCATACACTTCGCTAGTAGAGCTAGGACCTTTCTCCCCAAGATCAGTTTGCTAGTAGAGCTACGACCTTTCTCCCCCAGATCAGTTTGCTAGTAGAGCTACGACTTTTTGCCAAACCCCCCCTTTGCTCAACTTGGTTGGCAAACGAACAAAATCCACAATTATTTGTGAGACTTTTCAATATTTAAACTTCCAATAAGTTGGCAAACGAACAAAATCCACAATTATTATATGTGAGACTTTTCAATTAAGTTCATGAAAAAAAAAAATTGGGATTTGAATGTGTTCTCACAAAGTTAAATGTTAAAAATGTTGTTTCAGTTGATAGTGTTATGTTCATTTTGTAAGCAAAACAAAAACAGAAGCTACCGGGGAAGGGAGAGAGAGAACAAAGTAAACGGACGAACATACTATGATTGTCTGGTTGTGAGCCATTGGCGAACTATCAACAGTATACGACTCCAAAAAACGGCTGATTCTTCTTTGATTTTATAATTTTCTAACGACTAATATATGATCTATGAATTAATATCAATAGTTACATAAATTATTTAAAACTTTGAAAATATTATATGAATTAATGAAATATGGTCGATTCCACTAAAATTATATATAATATTAATTGTAGCTTTAGCGAGTGATGACTATCATAACACGTAAATATTTGAAATAACATTGTTTTAGTGGAAAAAATGGTATAACCTATGAACTATCTAAACTTTTTAACACACTAGATAAAGTAAAGACTCCATGGACATGCAGAAGAGAAATGCTATCCAGTCTAACTATGTGATTGAATAAATCCTCCTCTATCTGTTGCGGGTCGAGGACTCCTTCTCCTTCCCCTTCTTCAAAGGCTGCTCCCATTTCGCTCGCCGCTACTACGGGAATCGCTTTTGCTTTCTTTTCCTCTGGCTACTAAGATGTTTCAGTTCGCCAGGTTGTCTCTTGCCTGCCCATGGATTCAGCAGCAGTTCAAAAGGTGGTTGATCCCAAAATCGTATATAACGTTAATTGCAGTATTAGTAATTGCTGATTAGGATGATACGTAAAAATTCGAAACAATATTATTTTAGTAAATATAATCTAAAGAACCCAAAAAGGCATCATTTTATTTTTAGTTTAATTTTATATATTACTAGTGTTTTGTCCATGCTACGCGTGGGTTATATAGTTATATTGTAGTTTTATAAAAGGTTGTCAATTAATTTTGTGTTTAATATTGTGATAAATTATAGAGTAGTATATTTGCATGTGATTTTTTAGATATAATCGAGCGAAGTAAGTATCAGAAGGATGTATATATATATATATATATATGAAAAGATGATCGAAATTTTTGTATAATAATTTGAAAGTAGATTAATATACCTTTTGGCTTAGTTAAACTTTTTTTTAAGAGTTAATACATGTTTTTGCAAATATGAAGGGTAAAGTTTGACATTTTTGTATAATAATTTGATTTGTAATTTTGTTATATTTTTTGTTTATGTAAATAGTGTCCACATGAACTATATATTATATTAGAAATATATTGTCTAAATTTAGACATCTTATGTTATAATGCTATTTCTTTAGTGAACACCATGAGTATTTTTTTATACTTTCAGAAATATTTTGCATAAGCTTCGCTTTCGCTTGATACTTTTAAAAAGAAAAACTCAATCCTTACTCCATTTTTGTTTCATATTGTGTATTAAGATTTTGTTTTTAATTTTCATATAGTATGCATTTCTCTACTTATCAATTTTTTTAAGATTCAGTATGTACATAAATGTTTTATAATTAGTTCATATATTCAACGAAGAAAACAAATGGCAATTAATAATAAACTTTTTATTATATGAGTTCTTTATTGATTGATATAATATTTGTTTGATAGTTTACCTAGCTCAATCATTTTTCAATATTGGTGAAGAGTGTGGAATTTATCGTTATATGTTATTTAAAAAAAAATCTTTTCAGTTTTATGTTTCATGAAATTTTGCAAATAAAAATTAAGAAACAGTGAGTAACTGTCTTTAATCACCGGTTCTTTAGTTATGTTTTTACTTCAGTTTTTCTACAATATCGGATTACAATGAACAATATGGAACTCTATATCAGCTTTAGAAACTTGAAATCTGTTATAAGTCAAAAAGTTACAATTGTATAAATTAATTTTCTCTAGACGAAAGAAAACTGAGTCGCTCCCTAAGTTTTACTTTTGGCGAGAAAAACGTTCTCCAGTTCCAACAATATTATGATTCAGACTCATTCTACTTGATTCACATCCCCTATATATTAAAAGAGAAGCATTTTTAAAGAATAACCTTAATTTTGTAAAATATTACAGTAGTGCCATTTTGCTGATGTGTCATCACCAGAATCATTTTCAGCAAAGTTATAAAAATAGATTTATGTTACTAGATTAATTACATGTTATGCCACTCACATTAATTTTGTTATACATTAGTTTATATCAATTATATTGATGATGATTCATCAAGATATTCTTTTTTTCTATTTCTTACCAAAAATATATCATATTAATTATTTCCTTAAATACTATATCTTATCTCTTATCTTTATAGAAAAATAAATCATCACATCACTCATATAGTAAAATATATATACATATATATATATATATATTTCGGTGTTATAATTCGAATTTCATAAAACAAATATAAATTACTCAAATGATTAATAAATAAAAGTATGTTTTAATAGACTAAAATTGAAAATAAGGATGTGTAGATTGATGATTCATAAATTAATATAAAAATACATAAATGATAAAAAAAACAGGAAGATTAATTTAATAGATATTATTATTTTTAATTTATACAACAAAATTACTTGGTGAAAAATTAAAATATTTTTGTAAGGATATTATATAATAATCTATTAAACTTTTTGATATTAAAAATATTTTTATTGAATTAAAAAGTTAAGAATGTATAAGTATTGACTTAGTTATATACAATTTTAGATAATTTATTAAAAATAATAAAAAATATAATCTATTTTTATATAATTCTTATGTATATTTAGTATTTAAAATAAATTTTACATTAATTTTCTTTTCTTAAAAGTTAATATTCTTATGACTATAGTTTTTGCGAGTTAATCTAAATATGCATTTATATTCGTATAAGAAATATTAAAATCGATAATTAAATCTTATAATTAAACTTTATTTTTTAAAATTTTAATACTCTCTATTTCAAAATATAAGTTGTTTTGCATCAAAACACAAAGATTAAGAAGCAACTTTTTTTAAAAAAGTAATCATTTATCATATAAATTAAATATAATTCAACAAATTATGAAAAACTAAAAAATATAATCGGTCACATAGTAGTCATACAAAGTAGTAAGAAATATGAAAACAACTATATTGTGAAACAAAACAAAACCTTAAAAAAAACTAATATTATAAAACAGAGGAAGTAATAAATTTTTATTATTATTATCATAACGCATTAGATACTTTATAATTTAATAAAAATATACCCCCTCTATTTTTTTTAATTTTAAGATCATGTTATTAATAATAGGTTATAGAAAATATAAAGAGAGACTTCATATTTCTATCCAGATTGCACATATATATTTAATTTTTAAACTAATTTATATATAATTAAATTACCCTAAAATTCATAAAATAAAAAAAAAAATTATTTTGTCAATATTACATCATAATATTATAAACAACTCATATAAAATTAATTGTATTTTGTTATATGATTTTAAAATTATACTATATTAAATAAATAATTATTATTTTACCCCGTACAAGGTGCGGGTTATTACCTAGTTATAAATATAAATGCAAAATATTTGTGAGATTGTATTTTTATGTTGCTTACAACAATCTCAAGTATGAGACACATTAGACTTCATTTGTGATAGAGCTGTGTATTATTTATACCATATGTGGCTCATCCCTATGTTTTTTTTTTTTTACATCCTCATTGCTATGTCTTTTGGATATCCAAATATTTATGCTCCACTTATTTAAGTCTTATTGTTTATCACCAGTTTGGTTGTCATTAATTAATAAGTAAAGTTTGTGTTTAGTGACGGTTGATTCCGTTTTTGGTAAGTCAGAGGCGAGATGATAGGAAACCGAGAAGATGATGACTCCATAAATTAAGCTTTTGTTTAAACTTTATAATTGAGTTTTAGTGTAATTCGTTTTCATTTTTTTTTTTGCTTTGTTTTTTTATTGAGAATTTAAGAATTATAGAAGATTTTTTTTAGGTAAAATTTGAAGAAAGTTTGATTAATAAAATGGCTTTAAATTATTGCTTGGAGAAGATGACATAGCAGTTTTGAAATCTACTATTGGTTAATTATTTTTGCTGATGTGGTATATTGTCTTATTCTTATTGGTTAGTTTTTTTATAATTTAATGATGTGAGAATTTGTTATATTCTTATTGGTTGATTATTTTTGCATATGTGGCACCTTTTAGAGAGCAGAAAATCTATCTCTTTTATATAAAGGAGATAAATTTATTTAATTTTTATTTATTAATTAATTTTAGATTGTTGATAATCAATCCAACTCTACTGATTGGCTATGGCTAAACCACCACCATTAGAACAAGAAAAAATTTAGATTTAAATCCGTGCTTTTTCTTCCTCGGATCATCTTCTCCTCTTTAAAGCGACTCAATTGGGGTCAACTAGACCACCAGATTATTCCTGGAACCAAAGACGAAGACGAAGACGAAGAGGATCACGACCAGTCGTCAATGAATAAGAAAAAGAGAAATGATTATTTATGAGTACTTAAGTCGATAGGAAATGTCAACTTCATGTTGACTATTTCGGTCAGAGTAAACCAGTTTTGATCCTTCTCCGTCATTACCATTTTTTTTTTAACACTTATATCTTATACTTTGAAAGTCTTTAAAAAGCTCCTCTCCTCACTCATTTGTAATATAGCTCCTCTCCTCACTCATTCAAATAGCTCCTCTCGTCACTCATTTGTAAAATATTTTATACTTTGAAAGCCTTTAAATAGCCATTTGTAATAGCTCCTCTCCTCACTCATTCAAATAGCTCCCCACCTCACTCATTTGTAATAGCTCCTGTCCTCACTCATTCAAATAGCTCCTCTCCTCACTCATTTGTAATAGCTTTCATCTTCTAAATTTCTCCAAAATGGGAATTCTCTCCAACAAGATTTCCAGAGATGAAGTGAGGCCTGGAGATCACATCTATTCATGGCGTACTACCTACACCTACGCCCACCACGGTTCGCTACCTCTCCCTCTCTCTGTCTCAACTCTAGTTTCACAGTCAATGCTCGATCAATCTTAGTTTTTTTTTTTTTTTTTTGTTACTGATCTGATCGAGTATCCCATATTAACGCGATTTCTGTTGCAGGGATATATGTTGACGATGGACAAGTCATAGAGTTCACTCATACTCCTACAGCTTGGACCTCTCTCTCCAAGAGCAGTTCATCAACAAAGCTTCCGTGTCGAATTTGCAGGGGCCGTTCGAAGTCAGGCGGTGTGACTTCCTCTTGCCTTGATTGCTTTCTGGGCGGAGGAAATCTATACCGCTATGAATACAATGTCTCTGGGGCTGCCTTGCTTTTCAAAGTTAGAGGCGGTACTTGCACATTAGCAGCTTCGGATCCTCCTGAGGATGTTCTTTATCGTGCAAACTTCCTCTTAAGGGAAAACGGGTTTGGTGTTTATCACGTCTTGGAGAACAACTGTGAAACTTTTGCTATCTATTGTAAAACGGGCTTGGTGTCGTGCAAAAAAAATTGGTTGGGGAGTAGTGGTCAAGCCACTGCGTTTGCTGCAGCTGTTGCCGTTATTGCCTTACCTGGGCCCGGCTTTTGTGCGTACAATGTTGCTCGTCTGATTAATGACGTAGGCATGCCATGGCGCAGAAAGAGCGGCAATGACGTTATCAAGGTTCCTGTTGAAGAGCTCGTTGCTACGAGGAAGCCTGCTTGAGCATTGCTGCCGGTTGCGACTCGCCGTTGAAGATTTTATATTTATTTTTGTTTTTGTTGATTCGTGCTTTGTTGAATTTCCAAAATTGCTATAGTTGTTTTTTGTTGATTCGTGCTTTTATTAAATTCTAAAATTGCTATATTTTTTTTGTTGTTGTTGATTCGTGTTTTTGTTGAAATAAAAAAATGCTATATAAACTTTTTGTTTTTAAGGCTCGATCATAAGAAAAAAAAATTATACATAGTCAACTGAAATGAAACATTTCACTAAGACCGAACCTAAATATGAAATGCATACCCACAGTGTTTTTTTTTTTGGTCATTCATTTAATTAAGAAAGTTTTATCTTTAAATGAAAATGATACAATATGCTGCAAAGAGCCAAATACAGTAGATTGGTGAAACACAAGACAAGGAGAAGACAACAATAATAACTCAAACAGATAAAACGATAAGCGAGAGCTTACAAACTCAACCAAAAATAAAATGGAGTTAACAAGCTCAATCGAAGCAACGTCACAAAAACAAATATTGCTGTCTTGAACGACACCGCCAAAAAGAAGGAATACAACCTCCATAATCTAAAAGATGAAGCCATCAGCACTATCAATTACTGAACAAAAAACTAATAGTCTCATGACTTTTGTTCTAACCAGAACAACCTTTGACTCAATGTTCCCTGAAACACTTAAAACAAATGAAAAATGTGAGAAGCAAAAAGCCTCCGTAAAAGAGAGAAGAGGACTATAGAAGTCCAAAGCCAGATTCAATGAAAGGAAGTTATTGAGATAAGCTTTCATCGAATTGAAATCGGGACAGAACGTGCATAAAGGGCTGCACTAAGGTGGAAGAAACCGAATCATTCGGTAACAGAAGCGATGAACTCAAAATCCACAAATCAGACATTTCCCATCCTGCATACTGCTTGGAGAGGCAGAAGATAAAGAAAGAGAGCAAACCTGGGGAAAAAAAAGAGATGGTAACGCAGCCAGGTGATGAGATGGAGAGGCAGCTTAAGGACTTGCGAGAAGGAGATGAGACGAGGTGGCGGAGACGACAGGGACCGAGAGAGAGTCCAAGCTTAAGGAAGAATCTGGCGGATCTGGTGGTTCCGGCGGACCACGGGGGAAGAAGACTTCAAAAAAAGCCAGAAGAAACTTACTCGATGGTGGTGGATCCGGCGGAGGCCTGAGCCGCGATGGAGGAGAATCAGCTACCGAACCCATCACAGAGAAGAGGAGGACAGAGAACTTCAGGCCGAGGGGGAGCAAACTGCGGAGCTGCGGCAGAAGGGACTCATCTTGACTCGACGGCGGCTACCTCGAGAATCGGGCCTGGGAGAGAAACTAGGGAGAACTCGACTCTATTTTTCCTTTTACCAGCACAAGATCCTATATGCATTTTCTTTACTCTTCTTTGGCAATGTCTGTAGCTAGTGAGGGTTTGAAGAAAACTGGAAAGAGTGAAAACCTCACACTCCGAAATCAGGAGAGCATTTCAAGATGTCTGAAAAAAATAAACTGTGAAGATTTCGCCATTTATTGCAAAACTGGAAAGTAGCGGTCAATCCAATTCTCAGTCTGCAGCACGTACTGTTTTTTCTTGGCCAATCAAACTTACTCGAATAATATATTAATAATGTTTGATAAACTCACTTGAATTGAGTATATAGAGACAATAACAATATAAAAAAAAATCATAAACCCTAATTTTTTAAATCTCTTTATTTGAGTTTCTTTTAACTTTTTCTATTTTTATTAATTATTTAATATAAGATAAATAATTTTCTTCTTTTGATGTAAATTGGTAGATTAAGATTAATAAAATTCAAAGTTTGCATTAAAAAACATAGCAATCCAAAATGACCAAAAGCAAAGGATCTTTGTTTCATATCAACTTAATATTAATTAATATATATAGAGTTTTAAAAGTATTTAAATGATTTAGAGTTTTACTTATGATCGCATAAATCAATTAGGTTAGTCAAAATATTAGTAGATTAAACAATCAAATTAAAATTAGTTTAATAAAATAATTAGGATTATTTATTTATTTATTCTAGTTACTTTTTTAGTAAACTGTATATTTTTATGATATAAACTTGAATTTGGAAATCTAGATTTAAAAAAAAACGAAAATTAATTAAAATTAGATTATATTAATTTGTTAATTTTATTGAGGTTAATTAAAGTAAATTCACATAAGGGACAAAAAGTTCAATCATTATAACTCTCAACCACAGCCTAACTTGTTTCTCAATTAATAATATGATAATTGTTATTTGGCTTAAATATATATATAATATGTATATTTGGCTTGATCTACATACTTATTAGCCATTTTAAAAACACATAATAAATTAAACTAAAATTCTATTAATTTTAGTTTTTTAAAATGAAGTAGTAAGCGAGAGCCTCTTTGATATTGGAGTATTGCTGTCAAAATTTGTAATTGTGGCTGGACTATCCCACTTTTGGAGTAAGAAATTAATACATAATATAATGATAACTTGTATTATATTGCATAATATAATTATAGAGGATGAACGTGATGTTGATGCAACAATCGAAAAACTAATTAATGGTCCAACTGTAGAAATTGAGATAGTGGGTGGTGATGATTCTCAATTTCAAGAATCTTAACTTGACACAAGAAAATTAAGGACCAAAAAACTCGTATTAAACTTCGAAATACTAAATTGAATACTTGTGTTTTGAATATACCAATTCTATGGAATAACATAAAAACACAAAATTTGCAGAATTACGTTATTACTAACAAAACATAAAAAAAATCTTTATTTGTCTACTCTTTTTGGAAAAGATCATTTACACTATGTCTTAGTATCAATAACAACTCATTTCTGGTCCAAGAAAATGTACAGGTTTCAGCCTAAGACTTTTCGATATTAAAAAAAATATATATATTATTTATGGAATGAATATTTTATATTATTCAAATATATAATTAATCATGTTGTACTGTTAAAACAAATACAAACAAATACTACAAATATTTATGTAATGATAAGATTATAAATATAATTTGAATTTTGCAATACTTTTAGATTTTTATGTATTTTGTATGGAGAAAATGTTTTTAAAAAAGTAATTACAATAAGAAATAAAGTCTTTTTCTAATTATGTTAAAGTTATGTGAGTTTTATAATAATTAATCTAATTATTAATATTTTAATTTTTATAGATATTTTGTATTTTGAAGGTCTATAAATAGCTCCTCTCCTCACTCATTTGTAATAGCTTTCATCTTCTAAAGATTTCCAAAGATATACTGAGGCCTGGAGATCACATGTATTCATGGCGTACTGCCTACGTCTATCTCTCTCTCAGTCTCCCTAATAACTATAGTTTCACAGTCAATGCATGATCTTAGATTCTTTTTGTTACTAGTCGAATTAACGCGATTTCTGTGGTAGGAATATATGTTGGCGATGGACAAGCCATACAGTTCGCTAGTAGAGCTAGGACTTTTCTACCCAAAATCAGTTTGCTAGTAGAGCTACGACCTTTGTCCACAAATATTTCACGAAGAAAAAATATTACGTCAGAAATATAATTTCAAAAACTTTTGGAGGTAATTTTTTAGTTAAAAATGTGAATACGTAAATTTTTTGCCAAAAAACAATCTTGTGGAATACATTATTCCCCCCCTACCCCTCCCAATATAACCCACAAATTTTGCCCAACTTGGTTGGCAAACGGACAAAATCCACAATTATATGTGAGAGTTTTCAATATTTAAACTTTCAGTAAGTTGGCAAACGAACAAAATTCACAATTATATGTGAGACTTTTCAATTAAGTAGGAATTTCTATGAGAGAAAAAGAGACTGGGATTTGAATGTGTACTTCACAAAGTTAAATGTTCAAAATGTTGTTTCAGTTGATATTGGTAAAAACTAAAAAGTTGTTATGTTCATTTTGTAAGCAAAACAAAAACAGAAGCTTACAAAATGAACATAATGAACATAACAACTTCTGTTTTCTTTAAAATGTTCAAAATGTTGTTTCGTTCTCTCTCTCCCCTTCCAATCATAGAACGAAGTAAACAATCATACTATGATTGTCTGGTTGTGAGCCATTGGCAAAACGACTCCTAAAAATGGCTGAATCCTTTATGAACTTGTAAATTTCTAACGATTAATACATGACCTATGAATTAATATCAATAGTTACATGAATTATATATAATATTAATTGTAGCTTTAGCGAGTGATGACTAAGATGACATGTAAATATCTGAAATGACATCGTTTTAGTGAGAAAAATGGTTGATGCCCCAATGAATTTACAAATTCTTAACGATTGTTGGGGAACTGACTTTATGAGTCATTTTATTTTATCTTATGGGAACAAATTCATCTTAGTTGCTGTGGATTATGTGTTCAAATGGGTAGAAGCGATTGCACTGAAGCTGCAATGGTTTTTAAGTTGTTTAAGAACATTATTTTCCCATATTTGAACTACCATATTGTCATAAGTGATGGTGATCCTCACATCATTAACAAGGTCTTTCATAAGCCTTTGCAGAAGCATGGTATTCATCATCGTGTGGGTACTCCTTATCATCCCCAGACCAGTGGACAAGTTGAAGTATCCAACAGATAAAAGAAATTCTGGAGAAGATAGTGGACAAGACAAGAAATGATTGGTCTGTAAAGTTGTATGATGCACTTTGGACTTACAAGACTGCTTCATAACACCACTTGGAACTACAACTTTTCATCTACTTTATGGGAAAGCATGTCACCTTCCAGTGGAGCTTGAATGCAAAGTAGCATGGACTATGAAGAAGATGAGCTTTGACTTGAAGCCTGCTGCAGAGAAGTGCCTGATACAGTTGAATGAAGTGGATGAAACCATACATCATGCCTATGAAATCTCCAAGCTGTACAAGGAGAGGACTAAGGCACATCATGATAAGAAGCTCATCTCCAGACACTTTGAACCAAATGACTAGGTACTTTTGTATAACTCTCGTTTGCAATTGTTTTCTGGAAAATTTCGTTCTTATTGGTCAGCTCTTTTTACCATCAAAGAGGTCAGACCATATGGAGCTGTTATCCTGATGAGTCTTGAGGGCAAGGAATTCATTAACAATGGACAAAGGGTGAAAGATTATTAGGCGCAAGACGAGATTCCAGTAGGACATATTGTGCATTTGGCATATGCACCCACTGCCTGATCATCCGACAAGTCAAGCGAATG